CATGGCATCCGGCCCCATCACTCCTTGGCAAATAGAAGGGGAAGTCGTGGAAGTAGTGACAGACTTCACGTTCCTGGGATCCCAGATCACCGCAGACTGTGACAGCAGCCATGAAATTAAAAGACGCCTGCTCCTTGGGAGGAAAGCGATGGCGAACCTAAACAGCATGATAAAAAGTAGAGACATCACCCTGCCAACAAAAATACGCATGGTCCAAGCAATGGTATTCCCAGTAGTCATGTATGGCTGTGAGAGTTGGACTATAAGGAAGGCCGAGCGCCGAAGAATAGATTCTTTTGAACTATGGTGCTGGAGGAGACTCTTGAGAGTCCCTTGGACTGCAAGAAGATCAAATCAGTCAATCCTCAAAGAAATCAACCCTGACTGTTCCCTGGAAGGCCAGATAATGAAACTGAAGCTCAAATACTTTGGCCACCAAATGAGAAGGGAGCACTCACTGGAGAAGACCCTGATGCTGGGAAAGATTGAAGGTCAAAGAAGACGGGGATGGCAAAGGATGAGATGGTTAGACAGTGTCACTGATGCAACGAACATGAAATTGAGCCAACTTCAGAGGACGGCGGAAGACAGGAAGGCCTGACGTGATCTGGTCCATGGGGTCGTGAAGAGTCGGACTCGACTGTGCGACTGAACAACAACAAAGGGCTTAAAATGGTAGATGTGATTTCAAATCCTCATTCAGCTATAAAGTTCATTGGGAGACCTTGGACCTATCATAACTTCTCAGCCTAATGTACCTCCACTGGTTTATTGGGAGAAGAAAATGGAATACGCCCCATTTATGCTTCCTGTATTTGAGGAAAGGGTGAGATGCAAATGTGATAGATAAATAAATTCAGTCTATGCTCTGCGAGACTTCATGCTTAGCAAATGTCCTTTGTTTCAAGGGATGACCTTTAGTTCAGAACAGCATAGCTCTGTTGAACACCATAATATTGATGCTACAGTACTTGAGCCTCCCCCACCCCCACAGCTTTTAAGATTTTTCCTCTGGCAAATCAAACGCAGTACTGCTTTAACATCATTCTTGTTTATGTCACATAAACATTGGAGTGTCCCTCCAGGTTGTTTGGATAAAAATATGCTGTTCTAAGAACCAACTGGCAGCTATAGCTTCCAGCTGAAGAAAATGCTTTGAGCACATAGATTACCTGTGGAGCTGGTGGCATTAGAAGGCTGTGTGACAGCCTAATATGAACGAGTTCTCTAATGCTAGGAACTGCTTGGAAAACTAAGGAAAGTGACACATGTTCTACTTTCCCAAAATTGCCAAATTCCACATCCCTTTGTGTTGGACAGCATTTTCAGGAGCAATGGAAAGATTAATCACCCATTAACAATTTTAAATATCCTTTAATGTACAACATTTGAAGGTTTAATCTAATCGAGTCCCCCATCCATGGTGCTGAAGGAGTGTCCAATTGACACAGGGTTTCTCAAATTTTATTTATACCTTGCTTTTCTCTCTAATGGGGGCTCCGAGCAACTCTCAAAGTAATTCTCCCCTCCCCCATTTTATCCTCACAACAACCCTGTGAGGTAGGTTAGGCTGAGAGCATGTGATTGGTCCAAGGTCACCCAGCAAGCTGCCATGGCAGAATGGGGATTCGAATGTTGTTGTAGCTCCCTGTGTCAATAAACAAATGTGCCAAATATCCTGACGTGTTAGGGTGACAAAAGAAAAACCAGCTGGCATTCTCATTCCAGACGCTGGATTAGGCAAATGAATGGAAGAAAACTGGGCACAAAGCCAAGGATCTGAAGGAGCCAAAAGTACAAAACTTTTACCTCTGGCCACCCTCAGCCAGCATGTGGGAAGATATCAAGCTGTTTGTAGTGAATGGGAGGAAAGAGGCAGGGCTGTTGCTGGCACCCAGATCCCGTCAAGAAAGAGGCACACAAATTCTAGGTGGGGAGTGGAAGAAAGAGTTCATGCCTCCCCTGGCAGTTGTTCATATTTCTGTGGAGAGGACAGCCTTGCACTGGGAAGCCCAAACACAAGTGAGTACAACTGGGTCACTGGCATTTGTCCAATTTTTCGAGCCTAAGTAACCTTCCTCCAAATTAAGTGGCTCTTCTACCGTGCAGAGAAACTCTTCGGTTGGAGGAAGGCTTCAGACATAGCCCAGTGACATGGTAGGATATGTGCCATTGCTGGCAGTTGTATCCTACAGGCAGATACAACAGAAATCAAGGGGCACCAACAGTGCCAGATGTGGTATAAGAATGCTCCTTCCTACTGGGCCCTAATGTTGCCCCACATAAACAGAGCTTGAGTTCCTTGTGCTGCCATGTGTTGTGGATCATGGCTGGAATGAAAAGTTGTGAACTTGGGTGTCCGTCCGCCGCCGCTGCCGTTTTCAGGCTTATACCACCTCCTCTCCTGCCAGCAAAATACTAGAACTGTCAATTAGATTGAGAAAGTAAAGTGTTGGCATTGGATAAGATTATTCAGGCATGCTGCCGTAAAGCCAATGAGTTCACAAGACACATCTATGCAGTGGATGGAGTCATGGAGGAAACACATCCCCACTGTGTTGGAGTCCTTCCCCTTACTTCAGCAGG